GGGAAGTGAATCACACACAAAAACAGAGAGAAAACACAGAAACCAGACTTTGAAAATTTTTCTCAGGAAGACAGCGTCTCTCTGGTTTTTGCAGAAGTTAGGGCCACTTAGAAGATGAAGGAGAAAGGGTTTAAATAGGATAGATTAATCATTTTAAAATCATAACCCAATCTTTCCAATTAAGAAAATAATCTCCTATTCAGACTATTGCCACAGACTGTGCCAAACACAGTTAAGTGATAGCACAGTAACCAAGGCAATCGACCGTTTGAAAAAGCTCTCGGTTGACCGAATAAACTTTCGGTCGACCGCCAGAACGTTCGGTCGACCGAAATGATGAATTCGTTCGACCGACCGAAAATCCGGTTGACCGCGAGCAGGTTTGAAAACAAAGAAAACAAGCAGAGAGTTTATCGGTCGACCGATAGAAAAATCGAGTTTTCGGTCGACCGCATCGGTCGACCGACGAACTCTCTGGAGTCCAGTGACGAAAGAGCTAAAGTGCGGTCGACCGGTGCGGTCGACCGCATTCTGATACATAAACTTTGTAAAATATTTTTAATACTAAAAACAAATTGTTTGGAAAAAGAATTTTGCAGATAGGTCCTCATACTTGTGAAAAATAGTATTTTGTGAAAAATGCTTAAAAGCTTAAGTATGAAAACGTGTGTGTGAGTCCCAATAGCTTCAAGTGAATTCAATAACTCTTTGCCTACATTCTAATACTAGAGAGAGAATAAAAATTAGCTAATATCCTCACATAGATTACAATTCTTGAGTCTTGATATAGCTTGAGTTTGGATGAAGCTTTTATATGAATTTGTTGTTCTTGAAATAACATTGCTTCATCACTATGCCTCCTCCACCTTTGGATATCATTGTTGTAGCATATATTCCATCCAATCCTCCATGAATGGCACTAACAAGCTTGATAAATGAATTTACTACATTTGCACTCAATAAGCCATTAGTACCGTTAATGGTGGTTGTAAAACATCATCAAAACATAAGGGCTAACACTTTGAGCTTATTATATTTGCATACATAGTACATTAGGGTTGTGAGAGATTATAACATTGAGTTGTGCTTAATTGAGTTCTCATCTATTGTAGAGAACAAATTTATATTTGTTACATTGTGAGTGCTGTAAGGTTTTCGGTGAGCTAGAAAACCAAGTGTGTTGTGAAGTTTTCGGTTAACTGGAAAACCGATTGTGAGGAGTGACGTTGATCGGTGAGCGTTGAAAACCGACACTGTGAGGTGTAAACGTTATTCGGGTGAGCGTAGAAAACCCGGTTGTGATAGTGGATTTCTCCCCGGGAGTGGGGAGCGGAGACGTAGGACGGAAGGTCCGAACTCCGTGATCATTTGAGTGTGTTTGAGTTTGTCATTGGCGCATTTGCTTTTGCATTTATCTTATATCGCCAATTATGCATTGCTCATTTATTTCATCCACTATAGTTTATATTGTTTACCCTTGTATTAGTTTTATATCCTTACATATACATTGCCTATATCTCTTTGTTATGATATATCTTGTTGTTCATATTGCATATTCTTGCTCATAATATCTATCTTGCAAGAATAACTTGTTAATTAATTTTAATTGGCATATAATCGGATTCGATTAGCATAAGACCCTAATCACCCCCCCCCTCTAGGGTCTAACAGTACTATCTGACTGCTCTATTCTCCTGAGATCTGCAATTGTCTAATCCTCACGAAAGACCATATCTGCTCGTCTAATAATTCTTCTCTTCTTTAGATTCCATAGCTTGGAGCTGAACTCATCTTCTTTGTAACTAAGGAAGATACAAGGAATCGTTCTATCATCAAGCTTATGTCTCTGCTTCTTCAAAATATGTGCAAACGCCTTGCAACCAAACACCTTCAAATGTGACTAGCAAATATCCTTCTGAGACCAAACCCTCTCTAGAATATCAAAACTCAAAGGAGCTAGAAGAGACTTGTTAATTATGTTGTAGAATGCAGTGCAAATAGTTTCAGGCTAGAAGCTCCTTGGTATATTTACCATCGTTGACATGCATCTGACTTTCTCCACAATGGTCTTGTTGTACCTCTTTGAAACTCCATTGTGTTGTGGTGTGTCAGACTCTATCCTCTAATGCTAAATATCATGCTTGGAGCAATAATCTCTAAACTTAATGAAAGTGTACTCTCCTCCATTATTAGTATGCAAACATTTTAAATTTTTGTCTGTCTGCTTCTCCACCATAACATGAAAATATGGTAAAATTGAAAACACTTGATTTTTTTTGTCCTAAACATGAAGATCCACATCTTCCATGATGCGTCATCAATAAATGTGACAAAGTACTTGTTGCCACGTAAGGACTCCACCTCAAATAGGACCACAAACGCCAGAATAAATTAAATCTAGAATATTATCTTTTCATTTAGAAGACTTACTAAAAAACTCTATGTTGTTTGCCAAATAAACATAATCACAAGCGGCAAGTGATGAACCTGTAGTAAAGGGAATAAGAGACTTCTTTTTCTAATACATGCATTCGCTCTCACATACCCGAGCCTCCTGTGCTACAAACTAAGAGAGTCATCATCCTATGCCACACTCAAAGAATTATATGAAGCCTTCACTTGAGTCTTGTATAAATTGTAGCATGTAATTCCTCTAGCTACCACAAGAGAGTCTTTGATGATTTGGATTATCCTCCACCAAAGTGAATATCATATCTCATTTGGTCCAAAGTAAGACCCAAAAGCAACTTGAGCCACAACTTGAGAACATGTCGCACATTCTTCAAGATCAATGTGCATCTGATACCTATCTACAACTACATATCACTAGGTCCCATAATCTTCGAGTATCTAGTATCGCTCATCTTCACATTGCTAAAGTCACTTACTCTGTACGACGTGAAAAGGTTCCGATTACTCTGTACGACGTGAAAAGGTCCCGATTGGAGGTAGCATGATATGTAGTCCTGTATCCACTATCCACTCAAAATTCTGACTTGTAACATGATGCAATCTTCTTTCCTGAAAGTGAGAATAGCATTAGTCTTAGACAAGGTAGCAATAGTGTCGTTGTTTGCCTTCTTCGTCTCATCTTTCTTCTCATATTTGTTCCTAACTTACTCTTTCTTCAATACGGTACAATTCTTCTTGATATGATCCGGCTTCCTACAATGAAAGCAACATCTCGCCTTAGACTTTGATCTGTCCTTAGATGTACCATGATCTCTGGACTAGTCCTTGTACTTGCTCTTGCCTCTGTTCTCTATTACAAATGTATGTGAGTTATCTATGCTGGCAGACTTCCTTCGAGTCTCCTTATTGAACTAACTACTAGTAACTATACTCATTGATAGCACACCATTTGGCCGCGTTATTGACTATCACCACTAATATTTCTCAACTATCTGGTAAAGAACAGAATAGCAATAAATTCTGTAACTCATCATCCAGAGTCATACGCATCGTAGCTAACTAATTAATCAAACTCTTGAACTCATTTAAGTGTTGTGCCATATTGCTTCCTTCCTTGAACTTCAAGTTCACCAATCGCCTCATAATAAACGCATTGTTTCCCATGATCTTCTACTCATAGAGATCCTCAACCTTCTTCCATAGAAACTTCACATTAATCCTGCTAACATCTATCCATATTCGAATATAACCAATTGCCTTCATGTGTTGTTTCTTCTACTCTTTATCAGACATCGTTTCTATCTTAACTTCATCTCTCTCCATAGAATCATGTAAAATGTTCCAATAAAAAAATATCTTCTGACTTGGACTTTCATACTTGCTAATTGGAGCCATTTAATTTTACCATTATGCTAAAACTCTCCATATTATCCATCACAATACACGACTCAAACCAGGGTTCTAATACCACTTGTTAAAAAAATTTATTGAGATTATTTGCTGATTTAAACACAAGAAATAAATAATCCCACCAACAAAAAATATCACATCCAAATAAACACCAAGATTTAACATGCTTCGGCAAATGATGCTTAGGTCTACGACAATCGAGAGAGAAATATTTTACTATAAATAAAAAGTACAATTCCTCAAAACTACACTCAAACTTGAGGATTAAATGAAAAGAAAAAATCTATTGTTACCTCTAGGGCACAAAAACTCTAAAACTCATCTCAACTCAAATTTCCAACACATACAAAGAAACTAACACTCTTGACTGCGTTGTCGTTATGAATAAAATGGCTCTTGATTGACTTCAATCAGACAAGCAAATACTCTGAAAATTAACTTTTTCTCTCCTCGCTTTTTCTCTCTCCCCTTGCCTTAAAATACATGCTCGAGAATAATATCTCTCGGCTTTTTCTTTCTTCAATCCTATTCAAAGTGGGTGTTTGGGTGGGCTTATTCTTTGAAACTTATAACTTATGCTAGCTTTTACTGGCTTTTAGCTTTTATGATTAAAATACTACAAAAATTAGTTGACCAGAATACACTACTAAAAAATAAGGCATCCTAGACGGAAAATTCCGTCTAGAAAAATCAGAATTCCATTTAGAATGAGTATCCTAGACGGAATTCCATCTAGAATACGCGTTTAGGAAGTTTCCGTCTAGGATGTAGTATTCTAGACGAAAATTCTGTCTAGAATACATCCTAGATAGATTATTCTAGATGAAATTCAAAACTGTCTAGAATACATCCTAGATGAATTATCCTAGACGGAATTTCCGTCTAGAATACTACATACTAGACGGAAAAAAAATTCGTCTAGGATGGGTATCCTAGACGGAAACTTTCATCTAGGATAAATTCCGTCTAGGATGTTTTTAATTTTTTTTAAAAGCATCCTAGACGGAATTTGAGCATCCTAGATGGAATTTCCGTCTAGGATGCTATGCTACAATAGTAGTTTTTTTTTTTACAGAATCTACTTTGAATGCATATACACAATATTTAACAACAAAAAATTATATTCATATCCAACACAATCAAATTATATTCCAATATCAAATCCAATTATATTCAAATAATACATTCACCAGAATAGTAGAGAGATACATAAATTGTTTACAAACTTTTACATAAATTATTTACAATGGCTATGACACTGCAGAAGCTTTTTCAACTCCTTCCCTATACATTTTCTCAAGCCCTCTTCTTCTCCTTCTTCACCTTCTTCATCATCATCTTGAGTGTAACATAAGGACACAAGCAATGCATCAATATATGTACAAACAGATCCATAATATAAAAGATGGTGAGCAAAAAACGACTACTTAAACAAACACATAAATGTATCGGAGTTGATGATCTCAGATGTCGAGGCCGAGGTAGACCTGGAAGGAGATACAATAGGATTAAAAAAATTACTATTGCATAATTCAGATGGAAGCATGGAAGGAGATACAGACACCACATAGTTTAAAAGCGTAACATGAAGGAATTTGAAGCTGACTCACCAGAATAAAATAAATTGCCAAGCAACTTGAATGACAACCTAGAAAAAAAGAAGCTTAGTGAAGGTGAAACATCTCAATAATTTAATCTAATGAGAACCTTAATCATCATGAAGGTGTCAAATTACAGCAAATCACATTGAAGTACAGAAAGAACCACTTGACCTGTATAGCATTTATGCATACGCCTCATCAGATTCATCAAATATTTTTTTCAAGAATCACAAATCAAACAGATAGGAAGTAGCAAGACATTTTTGTTTCCCTTGAGAAAAGCTCTTTGAAGCTGCTCATAATGTCCTAAAAACAAACAGAAACTTAATACTTCCAGTAGTCATTAATATCAGTACATCAAATTGATGCTGCCTGCACAATCAAGCTTTATGCTTCTAATCTTTCATGATGTTACAGCATAACTAACCTCAGTCTCTGTCGTCAGTACAATACAAATACTCACACTTCAGTTAAATATCATACACAAACCTTGTTTTATTGAACGAACAAAACGTGCACATCTTAATGAGTAAATAAGAAACGACGTTAAACTACTTAAGACAGGTAACCATTTATGACTCTTCTTTATTCGCATCAAGTATACATGTCTTGGTCAACAGGCTTTTTCTTAAAGATTTAAGGAATTAACAGACTTTCTCAGATTCTGTTTCTAAGTTCAGAACAACAAAACAAAAACAGATATGAACAACACATAACATGAAAAAAAAATTCTTAAACACTAGCAAAAGTCCATTAGCTTGCAGCAAAGCTAACGTACACATACATAAAAGCCTAAAAGATATGTAGATTGACTAACCACTTATTATAATAATATGCATGCCCAACCTCCTAAAAAAGGGTTATGACAACCTGACAGCCCATAAGTCATCTCGAGGATTCCAAATGATATTATTCTGATAATCAAGTATATTGCCTTTAACAGGATTTCATACCACACATTCTCCATAATTAGTCATAATCATTTGGATAAATTTCACTAAATCTTTCTGAAGCAGAGTTATTATCCACAGGCTACAGTCTCTACAAGGGAAAGGAATTGAAAACAAATTTCCCATTTTTAGTCCATCCACAGACAAGAGATGAGCTTATCACTTCATTGATATGTTTAAGCATCCCACTTATGGATTAAAAAAGAACTAAATTACCACATTTCTGATGGCAAAATTGGAAACTAAATCAAATTAACTAAACTTCTAACCTCATCCCGCAACAGGTGGCAAGAGAAGAAACCTAGAATTACTCCTCAGCAGCTCCCCTTGCAACTCCAGCTCACTTATAATACCTTGCACAATCTTCCAACCCAAAAAAAAGTCACAAAAAACCCCACATTTCCCCAAAAAACAATCACAAACCAAAACCCTCACCTTCTGAAAATCCCTCGATTGCGTTGAATTGAATATCGGCCACACCTTAACAAAAGATCTTAGAAGACAAGCACATGAAATACAATAATGATCTATTTTTGTTGTAAAGATTTGTAAGAAAATGGGATGCAAGCTTGAATATTTAAAGAGAAAATCAAAAGAAAATAAAAGTTCACATACATTCCATCTTCTTGATGTGCTTCTTCACTTTTCTTTCACAACCATTGCAATGCGTAGAAACCCTTAAGATCACAGTCTGCCATAATCAAAACATTATGTACAAAGCAATGTTTTTCTACAACAAATCTCAAGATATATTGAGTAACAACAGGAAAATTGAATGATAACTAGTGCTTGAAAATAATTTGGAAAGCAATTCATATTTGATGAAGACACAACAGGAAATAAGAAGATAGAAAATATTAGGATTTTGACTTCCGCCTAGATCAAAAGCTTCATATGGAATAAGGCTACACAACATTCTTTTTTTTTTAAGGTTTCACATCTAATAGAAAACTAGAGCTTCACACCCAAAATTGCATCACACTGTCTACTAAAAAGAAGACCGAACTTTCTTCCAAAAACTTAGCTTTCATCAGGAACTCCTCTTTCTCATTGACAAAAGATTATTGTTTTAGCGTACAAAATCACCAATAAATTCCATCAGAGTGCATTATTAAGCTTGCTAAAAAATCAAAGCATAAATCTGAAGTGTACCTTTACTCTTTGATGGCTACCAATAAGAAGAAGGTTACCATCTCTATGCAGGCTTGTTATAACCACAACTACTACCATAATTATCCCTAAACGCACTGATCAAAATCAAATCTACTCAAGTTCTTCAACCCTAACTTCACCTGAGATTTGAGCGGGGGATTGAGCTCCTCATCGAACAAGTAATGATGAAAATCCTCAACAGCGATCATGGATCTCGCCAACTTCCCGATGATGTGGCGCTGCCGTTGCTGCCGGGTCTGATCGAAGATCCGATCGGCCTCCTCGCCGGAGACGCCGCCGTTGCCCTGAGACTCGACGAGGAACCGCCGGAAGTTGTCGGAGCTCATGTGACGCCGACTCCCAACTCGATGAGGCTGATTGTTGGGAAGGCCGATGATGGGGCCGTTAGCTTTAAGATTCGCGTTGGCGTAGCGCTGGGACCCGGATCGGGTCGTGCTAGGATTAGCGTTAGGGTTGTGGGACTTAGGGTTTGTGGACTCCTTGGTGGAGTCGTCGCGGTCGTAGGTGACGGAGGCGCCGGCGCCGGCGGGCGAGGTACTCGAAGGGGAGGTCTTGGATGGGGATGCGGATGGATTCTGGAGGGAAGTTTGGGATGGATTCTGGATTCTGAGACTCGATGAGGCTGATTGTTCATGAAATTTTCAATTTTGGGATGAAAATTTCCATTTTGGCGGGGAAGGAGGGCTGGGGGTTTTGACGGGTTTAATTTTTTTTAATGGCCTGTTATTTTAGACGGAAATTTCCGTCTAATGTATCCTAAACAAAATTTTTTGTTTAGAATACGTGGTTATTTTTAAAAATAAAAATAAAAATAAAGAAATTGTCTACGATACTATTCTAGACGGAATTTTCTGTTTAGAATGTTTTATTCTAGACGGAATATTCTAGACGAAATTTTTTTACCTGGTTTAATAGCATTCTAGACGGAAAAATTTCCGTCTAGAATATTCCGTCTAGAATACGTGATTTTCTACTAGTGATAATAATTTTTTAGTCAAATCTAGCTTATTTAAATGAGCTTATAAGTTAGTTTTTTAAAAACTATGGTATACCAGATTTTTTAAAAAGGGCTTATAAGTTAACTTATTTGATATTTTAACAAACAAGTAGACATTAAAAAACTAGCTTAAAAGCTAGTTTGAGAAAAAAAAAAAAACCCTTCCCAAACAGCCTCAAAATTTAAGTACAGGTGGGTTCGATCTCATGAATCCTTATTCCAATATTTTAAGAGATATTATTCCAAGGTCCTCCAAACTAATCCAATTATAATTAAGCTCTGCTAATCCTTCTCCCATAAGGTTTCAATCACAAGACCTCATGTGGGCTCTAATTTGGACCGGACCCACTAAACAGCAAGCCTGTGTGTACCATAAAGCTAGTGCGTGTGTATTTCTTTAGTTTTATTTGTCCCCTCTCAGCATATTCCTTCTGTATCTAGCTTTCCTTTTATCTGGTTTATTTATGCTTTCGAGTTTGGTAGATAGAAATGAAATTACTTAATAAATTATGGTATTACTTAAATGTAAAGCGGATACGAAAATACCTAGTATGGATACAAGGAGAATGACTCGATCAAATATGTAAGTTCAGGCGAATCCGCTCGGTCATTAGCATTGGTGTTGTATATTTTTGGATTTGCATCTAATCTTTGAATGTTTAGCATCAGATACCTACCTACGAAAGTTTTTTCTTTTAAACATACAATACAATTTGGTTCTTTTTCACTATAAAAAAGTAGTAGAGATACCACTACTTTTAACCTTAATTGTTAATGATTGTAATACATTCTAAATGTAACACTCATCTACCGCCGTGTATTGTACTCATTCCTTACACTGAAAAAGAAAAATCATAACCACCCCTATATAATCAATAATTATGATTAAGTAATAGTTCTTCTCTTACCTTTTTTTGAAAGTGGAGGAGATCAGATCCGAAGCCATATTAGTTAAAACCCATGTATTGCTTCAATGTTAATGCATAGGCCATCTACATGGTCTTCAATCATACATCAAATTGGATAGCTTGCTCGAATCGTGGATCAAAGGCATCGAATTACCCCAAAATCGGCTCGACCCAGATCATCCCAAATCTTTACTTGGTCTAAGTAAGCCTCCTCCAAAATCTCGGACTAGTTCGTGCATGCACTTCTCATGTCCACTTCCTACGCAAAATTCAGTAACAAACTCCTCACCCTCTCTCTCTTCTTCATCTTCATCGTTACCTTCTTCTTCTCCATCCATTAATCAACCTCACAAACAAAGTTCTCCAAACCAATGGGAACCGAAGCCATCGTCCCCGTCGAAAAAAAGCTCCGCATCTTCTTCTTCCCCTTCATCACTTCCGGCCACTTCCAACCAATGCTCAACATGGCTTCCCTCTTCTCCTCCTCCCACCCCTCCCTCATCTCCTCCACCATC